TTCTAGGATAGAATCCAGATTCCATCCAAAATCCAAATTGATTTCAGAAATGAATGGGTTAGATAAAGAATGATGACTGGGGTCACAGGTGGCTGGGATCCTGAACTTGCGAAGGCAGCCTCTCCATAGGAGAGGACATGAATTTGAAATCAGCGAAAACAATTCTTTGCCCTCTACTACCTTGGGGAACTGTATTTTCATTTCTATATCTGTGAAATTGGAGGTTCTATCCTCACCCTCATAGGTAGATGGGATTATATATGAGAATCCACTTCTCTGAAGATGTATGATTCTCAGAGATCATTAATTACAGCCTCTTATTTTACAGATGAGGAACATAAGTGCAGACTGCTGAAGATGAACTTGGACCCCAGATGTTTTGCTTGAGTTAGGGCTCCTTGAGCACGAAGCCCAGGAGCCCAGGATCTGGAGTCAGAATGCTGGGTTATGGTGTTGGCTCTGTAGACACCATGACCTTGAGCAAGTGGCTTACACTCTCTGTCTCAGTTTCCACATCTGTAAAGTGGGGACAATAACTGTATCTAATTCAAGACTGAGTGTGTCCATTTAAAAAGTCAGGCTAAGTATATAGTGTCTGGTACATTACAAGCTGTAGCCCATGGAACTTTCTTTGAATACTTTCAGGGACCCCAAACCAATGCTTGTGGTCATCCTTATTCTATACCAGCATGTATATTTTACTCATCAACTGGTTGAGTCTTTTCTCGAGAGCTTAAATGCTAAGGAATTAAATTTTGGCATTTCATAGAAAAATAAAGTAGGCAGTTGGGGTAGAGAGACCATCTGAACACCTCTAGAAGAAGTGTTGGTGAAATTTTATTTCTGACATTTTGGGGCAGGCTGGTTCTGAAGTGGGAGAGGGAAGGAGAAGAGGGGGTTTGGGGGATAACTGGGCATGGAAGTATTGTCCTGATGGAGGAGAGCTTGCAAAAAGTGAGCAAGAAGGCAATGCTCCATCCTAGTGATAGCTGTCAGTTATTGATCACTTACTGTACACTAGGCCCTCTGCCTCATCATTATTAGTTTCAGTCTCTGGAAAATGGGAGAAATAATATTACCTCCTTTATAACAGTTGTAAATGCTTCGAGAGATACTGTATATCAAATATTTGAACAGTGAGTGCTTGGTGCATAATATAAAGTTATTTGTTATTATTATTACTATTAATAGTAATAGTAATTACTATTACTATTTCAAAGGAGATAGGCTCTCATGTTTCAAAGGAGAAAGGCTAAGTAGCATGCTAAAAAATGCAGAGCTATTGAGTGGCAGGTGGCACCTGTTGTCTGACTCTGAAACTCTTAACTCTGCAGAGGTTCCAAGTCAAGCAGAATCTCCCATCTTCTTCCTGCCCACTCCGGTCCCACCCCTCAACCTTCCAATGGTGTCTCCCATCATCCAGACCAGATTAGAGTTCTGGCTCTGCCCCTCCCTGGCTGTATAACCCAGGCAAATCACTTCACTTCTTTACAAGTCAGTTTGCTTATCTACGCAGTAAGGGTTTTTGTGGGGATTCATAGATTTTCCAAGTAGAGTGCTTAGTCCAGTGCTTGGCAAATGAAAAGCACTAGATAGGTGGTAAGCTATTGTAAAGTGCGCCCTTGAGTTTTTCCCAAGTAAAGTTACTAGCCACTCACACTTCATTACCTACCCTTTATTCTGGAATGGTCTGTGACAAAAGAGAACTATTGGGAAGCCTGGGCAGCTCTCTCCTTCTCTCTGTAATGTGCCATTTTCTTAACTAATGCCATATGAAGCAATGTGGCCATCTCTTCTGGCTTCTAAATTCATCATTGGTGTCAGTCGGTGACGAAATGTCAGTGCGCTTGAATCCAACTGTCCCATTGCCATTATCTGGCTTTTCCTGGGAGGACAGTAACATTTTCAAATGGATGGAAATCTCTAGGCAACGTTCCTGTCCTCCCCCAGAGCAGATTTATTACAGGATGGTTGGCATTTCCACAGGCTCCACATTTGTCAGTGTCAGATTCATATGCGTTCTCAGGTCTCTGTACATATACAGACGTACTTTAAATCTCCGACAAACAAAAGCTATTTTTCTAGTTTGGAGATATTCCAAAAGATCTTTGCATTGCATTTATTTTTAAACGTTTGTGCGATAGAAAACTATGATGCTATCTAATGGTACAAGAAAAGACTGAATACTCAGCTTCCAGCAACTGACTGATCAGGTGTCCTGGGTCAGGCAGTTCTACACATAATATTTCATTTAACTGTGGGATGAGTATGCATTATTCTCAGTCTACAGAAGGGGAAACTGAGGCTCAACAACATGAGCTACTTGCTCAGGCACACATATACAGACATGTCACACACACAGGTCACACCAGCTAAGAGTGGTGAGGGTGGGACATAAACCATTCTGATTCCTTTATTGATGATCCTGCCATTCTTCACAGCTTCCTCTGCAGAATAGCACTCATTCATTCATTCAGAAACTATTTATTGAGCACCTACTATGCACCAGGCACTATGCAAGTCTCTGGTGATACAGCAATAGAAAAAATGAGCAAAACCTTCTGCCTCCAAGGAGCTTACATTCCGGTGAACAAACAACACAGTTCTGTGACTTGGCAAAGAGTTCACCTTCACTGGATGGCATGGAGGGAGAGGGACATGACGGAATGCAGGGGTGACTTGGGTGCAGAGGCTCCGTTCCTCCCCCGATCCCACCAGCATGGGACAGGCCCAAGGCAGGCACTTGGGGAAGGTCTGAAAAGAACGGTGGTGCACGAAGCTGTGACGGCTCCTACCAGGGCCCTGTTCCCCCCACCCCTGCAATGTGTAGGTTGTCTTTGGGGGCTTAGGGTTTTAACAACACGAACCGCTGCTCTAGGGAAGGTAGAGACCAAGCCGTGGGGTAAGGCACTGTCAAGGCAGTGAGGACAGGGAAGGACTGGGAGCTCCAGGTATTCAACAAATAATAGTGGGCACCCTGTGACCACAAATAGCCCCCTCCTCAAAATTCTGTGGTTGAGTCAGTGGAAAAACAAAACTTAGCTTCTTGCTGTTATTTTGCGGGCTACCATTCATTCGACAATTCCTCTGTGTCAGGCACTGTGTCTGACACACAGGAATGCACAAAATTCTTTGTGTACATTGTCTAATTTAATTCCAACAATTCTCTGAGTAGTTGAAACTCAAAGAAGCTAGTGAATGGAGGAAGTAAACTTTGAACTTGAATCTGTCCAACTGTAAAGCTCTTGTCCTTGCCCCTGCCCCCCATACCAAGCTGCCTCTGTGGGTTCTCAGAAGGCTCTAAGGAGAATGTGGAAATAATTCGTTGTTTGCTGTGTGTCTTCAATGCCTTTATAATTTGAACTGTCATTCACAGGCCAGCAACAATGGCAGCACTGGGGAGCTAGTTAAAAATGCAGGGCCACAGGCTCGCTTCAAACCTACTGAAGCAGAATTGCTTTTTTAATGAGACTCCTGGGAGCATTAAAGTTTAAAAGGCACTGCTCTGTAGCTCTTGCTGAAAGAGATGACATCAATACTCTGAAAGATGGTGGGGAGATACTTATCGCTGACTCCAGAAATGATCATTTCTAGAATTGAATTGATGGTGACTATTCAATTTAATCAAAAAGTGAAAGTTTAAAAAATCGTCTGGGCACCTGTTAAATAAAACTGGAATGGAAAAAACCCTGAGTGATCTAGGAAGTTAGCTAAAGTGTAGAAGATGAATTTCGGCTTCAAGAATGTTCTCACAGGCTTTTCAGAAAAGGGGTGCTCTTTCATGTGAGAATTTTTTCCTCAGGGGGGCTTTCAATCTTATAGACAGCTGGTGAAAGGAGGAATAGTTTATAGCCTATTAACCTGGATATAGGCTAATGTGTGGTAAACTTGAACTTTCACCTCAGATTTGTCCATCAGTTCACTTTAAGTTCTTAGGAAAATAGTCAACAGCTTTCTGTTTATCTAGTGCTCTTGACCTGGGAAAATTCAGCATAACAGGGGTGTTCCTATGCCATTATAATGATAAAATTGGGAAACTTCTTTTGAAGTCAAGTATATTAAGTACATTAACATTAAAGAATCTCAAAAACTCATAGGAGTTTACTAAATGATGTACTAGTGCCTTCCATCAGCCAACGACCCAATCAACCAAACCATTAAAAAGTGTTTATTGGGAAGTTGCCACGTGTCTGGGAGTACAAAGGGAGTTATGCTCCTGGGACAGAAAGTAGTAACTCTGAATGGCTTTTCCCCTGCTCTCCGTCCCACAAAAACCAAGCATGGTGATGAGCATAATGAAGCCGGGATGCAGGGCCTGCGCACAGGGGAGGGGCGGGTGTCGGGAAGGGGACCGTGGCTGTCCTCCTGTTTTCCTGCTCAGTGGGGCCGTCCAGAGCAGACTTTCCAAAGGCCTGTTGAACATACACCTGGAACGCAGATGGAGTCCAGGTGCCGTGTTACAAAGGAGAGGAAGTCAGGGCTTGGAGTCTTCTTAGTCCTTCCTCTCTCACATCTCCATCCAAACCGAGTCCTAACCATTGCGCCTCAGTGATATCTTTTCTACCTGCCCTCCACACGCCATTCGTTAGCTCAAGCTGTCTGAGGCCTTCTGAAATCCAGGACAGACCAAGTCCCTTGCTTCCTCTACAACCTTTAAAAGCTCCACATTGTAAGTGTAAGTCCACCCTGGCCTGGCATTCGGGATCCTGTGCCACTTGGCCCTGCACTGTCTCTCCAGCCTCTTGTTTCATTCTCATCGTCCCTTCCAGTCTCCTGCCATGACACTGCCATCCCCGTGTCCACACCACACCACGCCCACGTCCCGACTGTTCGTTCCACTTAGCCTGCTCCGTCTGACCACTCTACAGTCAGCAAAATCTTCCTTCTCCCACTAGTGGGTTTATACATGATGTCTGTGCAAATGTTCCTAAACTGTACTTACTCCTTATCACAGTCTGTTTGGCATTAAGATTTATCGGTTTATTTTTCTCTTTTGTCAGCTCTGGGCTCCCTGAGGACAGTGAGCATATCTTAACCACCTTTGTGCCATCAGAGGCTAACCCAGTCGATGCTTCTTAAATGAAGGTCCCCAGGCAAGGGCCACCATGACGGGATGCCACAGGACACACTAAGGGATAAACAGTATGAAGAGGCTCTGGAGGGTCCTTCATAATAAGACAGTATGGTGCCATCGCTTACTAGCTGTGTGATAACAGGACACCGACTTAGCTTCTCTGTGTCTGCGTTCTCCACGACAACGGGGGATCATAACAGCACCTGCTTTGTGGAGCTGCTGCGAGGGTGCAGATGAGTGTAAGTGCGGGAGCCTGCAGCTCCTGCTCTCTGAACGTTTCAGCCCGGGCAGTTGCCCTCGCCTCTCCCCACAGCCCTTCCCTTCACCCGCCCTCCTCCACCGCTTCTTCAAGTCCCAACTTCGACGCTGCTTTCTCCTGCGCGTGTTCCCCAACCCCCCACGTCTGTGGGCCGTGCCAATGGCCTGTCTTCCAGCAGGACCCTGGCCTTCCTCCATCGCACACGCATCTCACTGTGGCATAGTTCCTTCTTAATAAGTCAATAAGTAGAACAAGAATGGTAATATTTGTTGAGCCAAGGACTCTGTGCCAAGGACTATGGCAGGTTCTTACAAGCACCGTCCTCACCCATCCTCACGATGACTCTAGGCGACAAGGCTTTGTTATTTCCATTTTAAAAATGAGGAAATGGGACAAAATCGATTCAGTAAACTGTCCAAGATCACCCAGCCAGTGAGTTTCAGGACAGATCCAGACCCAGCTCTGCCTCATTTTGGTCCATATTCTCAGCATCGTGCTAAGTGGTGTCTGCTCCACCTCCCATCAGGCTCTACCAGGGGCGTCCTGCCTGTAGCCTGCGGACCACACGCCGCCCAAGATGTCTGTGAATGCAGCCCAATGTGAAATCACAAATTTACTTAAAACATTATGAGATTTTTTGTGTGTGGTCACATGTTGCAATGTATTTAATGTGTAGCTCAAGACAACTCCTCTTCTTCCAGTGTGGCACACAGACACCAAAAGGTTGGACACCCCTGTTCTAGAATATGCTAAAGTAAACAAAACTTGAACCCACACTGTGTTGAAAGCAAGTGGTTAGTAAACTGATAAGCGCTGAAAGTCTCCGCCGCCTTTCACCTGGTTCTTCGGTTTGTGGCGTGGCCGGGACTGGGCTTGTGAGAAAGCCAGGGAAGTGAATTAAGGAAGATGATCGTGCCGGCCCACCTAGCCACATTTCAGGTTCCTGGGGCATATGGGCACCCGCTCATTAAAAAGCATTTTTAACAAAAGTACACAACAGAAATGTTCAGCATATGTCAGAGTAGGTAGGGATTCATGAAATCTTAAATCAACTTGCTTTTTATAGCCATTTGGAAAGGGGCAAATTAACATGAGCCCTCGCTTCCTGCAGCGCACACTGAGCAGCAGCAGGGCTGAGGGGCGGGGGCAGGGCCAGTGTCCGTGGTGAGGACCGGGGGGTCCCGAGCTCCCAGCCCTGGCCTGTCTCCCGCCCACCCTCCTTCCCACGCTCACTCCCCCAGTGCAGTGCCAACTATAAACACTCCCCTCAAGAGAGGATTTTTAATAACATAAGTAATGCATGCTAACTCAAAGATAAGTTTACGTTTTTAAAAAAATCTTACTCCCATTCTCCTAAAAAAATTGGGGTATTTATCCTTCCAGCACTTTAGGGGTTTGTTGATGATATATATATGATATGATATATAGACACATAGAATTACACGTGTACATACACACACTTACCATACATATGTGTATGTGTGTACTTCCTTCCCCAAATTGTGATTATATGAAATGTTGTATAATTTGCACCCCCTTGAATCTGACCATTTCAAGTCAGTAATACACACCTACACTGTCATTCTAAATGGTGCTCTGGCATTCTGTTGTGTGACTTGCTGTAATTTATTTAACAGCCCATATTGTTGAATATTTACATTGCCTAACCAGCTGCTGCTGTCAACAGCCCTTCCAGGAGCATCCTCATACGCACCACTGTGAGCACCTGTCCCATTTACTTCTTAAAATAAACTTCCAAGGCACCATATCTTAAAAACAAGTTATTAATTACCACCAGGGGTTGTAATCAGTCCTTAACAATCACTCCTTAATAGTGTGACTTAATCTGAAGACTCCTCTTTTATAACAGTTATGAGCCCTGCCAATAAAAGGATGCTTGTTGAAGGTGAGGTTGGATAGGCATTTGGGGGAGGAGAGGTCAGGAGAAAAACCATCTTGGGGGTAGAAGACATTGTCAGAGAAAGGTAGGTCCTGGTGCCACAGGACTAACTGGAAATTTTAGGACCAGGCTGAGGAACGTGGACTAAAACAAAACAAAAAAACAGATGGCAGAGACAGAACACCTTCACCGTCTACCTCCTTGATGTGCCATTTCGCCAGCACCGGACCTTTGGCATGGAACCTGGCCAGGGCCATCTTTGTTGATCTTTTGTAAATATTTTAGCAATCGAGAGCCACAAAAATATTCAGAATACTTGCTTCAGTAATAGTACTTTTGGAAGTACATTCTAAGAAACTAACATCAAAGAAAGATATAGCTATTGCACAGAGATGTTCCTTACAGAGTTATATAAAGTAACAGAAACTTGTACTCAATGAAAATAGCCAACAATTAACTATGGTACACCTCCCTGATAGAATAGTATGTAGCTGTCTGACTCTAGCTGTGTGATCTTGGACAAACTATTTAGTCTGTGACCTGTTAAATGGGGGTAAAGACATTTACTCTGGCAGGCTTGTTGTCAGGATTAAATGAGGTAATAGTTGAAAAGCACCTGGCATGGTGCCTGACACATGGGAAGTGTTGAACAACTGGCAGCTAAGTATACAAAGAATCTGTTACACTTATGGAAATGAATGTGATACAAATAAGAAGCTGCCTACAAAGCATGCGCGCACTTGTCAGGCACAGGGAAGCCCTGCATCAGGGACTGTGCATCTCTTTGTCTCAGTGTTGCCTTAGGGAGTCCCCAGTCCCAGCACCTGGACACTCAGTCCTGTCAATGCCCTGGGGTGTCAGACTGTGAGAGTCTGTTTTTCCTCTAAATAACAGAAGCCCGAAGTAGACACTAGAGTGCCGATGTATTGACTTACTAAGAGCATTGTGAACACCATGCGGAACAGATTCCTACCCTGGCACCATGGTGCTTTCTCTCCCCAGAGGCTAGGAACAGAGGGAGACACAGCAGAAGTCACAATATAGGATAAAATTATGGAAGCAACAAACCCTAATGGGAGAAAAAAACCCCAAATCTTCATCAATGGATGAGTGGACAAACAAAGAGGTGATAAATACTTGCAATGGAACACTATTCAGCTTTTGAAAAGGCAAACGGAATTCTGAAATTTGCTGCAACATGCATGAGCCCTGACAATGTTATGCAAAGTGAAATAAAACAGACATAAAAGGGCAAATACTGTAGAATTCTACTTATATGAGGTGTTGAGAATAGGCAAACTCAGAGAGACAGGAAGTAGAACAGAGGTTTCCAGGGGCTGCTGGGAGCAGGACTGGGGAGTTATGAGTTAATAGGGACAGAGTTTCAGCTTGGGATGGCGGTGAAATTCTGAAGACAGGTGGTGGAAATGGCCACGCCGCAGTGTGAGTGTACTGAACACCCCTGGATTGTACACTAAAACACGTTTAAGATGGTAAATGTTATGTTACAAACAACACTAAGAAACCTCTAAAGACCTCAAGCTTAACAAGAGAGGCGGTGCAGCCTGTTGGTTAAGGTGTGGGCTGTGAGGCCATGTCATGCTGTGGGCTGCCATCTGGCTCCTCCTCTTCACCAGCCAGGTGTCATTAGACAAACTACCTTCGTTACCCATTTGCACAATGCAGGCTCTAACGGTGTTTGCAGTTCCTAGAGGCATCAAGAGGATTCAAATTACCTTCCTCCTCCAAGAGGAGATTTATGAGAAGTAGTGAGTGTTAGAACAATGCTGCGCATATAGAAAGTCCTGTGTAATTGAGAGAGAGAAAGAATTTCTTGGTTTCCTATGGAAGATTGTTAAGATGGGGATCAGAGTTATTCAGGGTCCTTGGAACTGGAGCATCATCTTTGCGCAGCAGATCTACAGAGCCGTAAGGGGACTCGGCAATCATGGAACCAGAAGAAGGGATTTAGGGAAAGTGTGTGTCGAATAGTATCCAGCTAAGACAGCCCGATTTCATCACAGGGATGGTCTTGCCAGCAGAATTGGCAACAGTCAAAACCCATTGGCTAAAGCCCTGTGTCTCCCGAGAGGGTGCTAGACGGCGTGGCTGTGGCTTGGTTTGATGCTCTCCATCGCCAGCCCTTCCAAGGCCGACCAGGGCCTCTCCAAAGCTGGTGAACATCCCAACTCCTTTGGGGAACCTGCTTCTTTCCACCCCATGTTAGTATATGGTCTTCACAGTTTTGTTCCCTGAGAGGCTTCTAGTTCTCTGGAAGGAAACATGGAAAAGGACAGCAGCCCGATTTACTGGTGGTTGCAGAATTGTGGATAAAACATTTTAAGTTCTGTTACTTCAGCTATAATGGCTGCACGTTTTTAAAAACAGATTTTAAATATATCATTGTTGCCCAGCGTTTTCCCATTTGTAAGCGATTTTCAGCTGCTGTCTGATTGTTCGGGGGTACTGCGTGCAGCGTGAGTAATGAGATGGGAAAGGGGGACCGGACCAGGCCACTGGGTCCCATGTCCATTCCAGCCTGGTACTCATCCCTGGGCTGTCCTCAAATCCTCAGCAAGTGTAATGAGGGGCTTGATGTGGTGTCTGAATATATGATGAGCCCCATTCACTTGCTTTTACGCTCCAGCGAACAGCTGTTCAGCTTCTCCTGAGTGGTTTATTCTTAGCTTTCTATGGCTTGAAGTAACTTCAGAACCAGCAATGCCGTACGCACTTGTGTGGGTCTGCATGTCCCCGCCCACCCGTGTCAGGAGCTGCTGCTGCTCTTAGGGTGTGATTTCCAGATGTGGCTCTGCCGGAATGAATGGTCCCTTTAAATCTCACCTTACCCTAAACAGGGGCTTGTTCTCCCTGGATGCTGTTGGAGTCTGAGATGATCATTACTTCTTGTGCTTGGCTGGTAAGGAGGGGAGGGCAGGAGCTAGGCCGGGCCCCCCTAAGGCATGGAGTGGTGGGCCTCGTCAGTCTGCTATTCACATGCCTCCGGGCCAACTGAGCCAGGTGCCTGGGCCAATCTGTCTGTGTCTGGTGTCTGAGGATTTTTTTCAGGACTGCAACAGGCTGGAAGTGCTGTGAAATTAATACGCCTGGGAGAACCCTAAAGCAAGGATCTTTGGTAACCGGGGCATAAACATGCAGGCTTCCTCATCCCTGGGGTGGGAGGATTACGAGGCCTGTGTTTTGTACTGTTTCCCTGATTTCTCCTGTAGGATTCAGTTCCAGTTGCCCACTGAGGTCACTGGTTCAATGCACGTTCCCGACCTGCTGCCACCTCCTCGGGTGTCACGTTCCCGTCCCCGACTGGTAGTCTGAGAGCCACTGGAATGCACCCTTGCCCTTGACTCCCTGTCTTGAGGTCCGCTTCTGGGAGAACCCACAGTGAGGTACACGGTGCTAAGAGAAGAGCACAAGGTTTAAAAGTGGAAGATGTGGCTCTGGTACGTGTCACATGACTTTAGGTCTCAGGTTTCAATCTCTCTGACGCACAGTTCTCTTAACTATAAAAGCCAGAGGGAAATAGCCCCTGTGTTATTCAATGGACCGTCTGTAAAGCCTCAGAGAGGATATGTAAGAGGAGGAGCTGAACAGGATGAGGATCTTTGGAGATGTTCATCATACTGTTTTACGTGGCTCTGCCGTGTCCCCTACTGTCTACAGAATGTCCCCCAAAGTATTTATCGACACTTTTCTTATCTGTAGCCACACAAAACTCTGTGTACAACTCAGGTGAATCAGCACTGTTACGAAAACTTCAGGACTTTCATATTTTTGTGACTAATTCTTTCTTTATGATTTTGTATACCTATTTCTTATGAAAAATTTCAAACATAAAAAAATTCAAAGAACAGGCCAATAAACCTTGGACTTTGGTTCAACAACTGTAAACATTTTGCTATATTTACATGATCTGTTGGCCTATCTATCTATCTATCTATCTATTTATCTATCTTTCTATACCATTTGAAATTAATT